AGCATGATAATTGGTCATTTTATGCTTTTATAGTTAAAGTATAAAAGAAAATCAAATATATGCTCTCATTTGGTCTTTTACTGTACTAAGCTGAGGATGTCGTTTTTCACAGTACTATGTTTTGGACATGGTTTCTGACTGAATTTCTTGGATGAAGCATTATCATTACTTACATCTGATATATTATCCTCTTATTATTATCATCTTTTGACCTTTGTGTCCTGTGGCCTTCTTCACATATACTAAATATATCACCTAATATATGACAGCATATTATTTATGACCACTGTCCCATAATAATTGTTACATATGCATACACTGTCATACACTAAATGCAACAACTATTGTTGGGACAGATTAATTTTTCAGTATCACTGTCCCATAATAATACATATCATACATAATTCATACACTAAATGCAGCAACTATTATGGGACAGATTATTTTTTTCAGTATCAATGTCCAATAATAATTGTTACATATGCATACATAATTCATACACTAAATGCAGCAACTATTATGGGACAGATTATAACCTTTAAGAAATTTCAAAGTGACCCCTATATTTAATCTATGAGGATAAATTTTCTTATTCCACTGTCATTTGAAAAGGCCAAAGGGCACAAAGGCTTAAATACAATAATAACAACAAAGAAAAAAGACAATTATCTGAATGAATTGTTATTATACAGGGTGTCCATAAAGTCCGTGTGCACTTTAAAAATTATAACTTTATTTGTATTTGCGATAGAAATAATCTGTAAAAAATGTTATAAAGTTTAATGTACCTAGTTTTAAGTATAGCTAAAATAACTAATGTGATTTCAGGCATTACTGTAAATCTGTTGGCAAATGTTTTCCGTGAACTGCAAAATCGTATTACCCTTTGTATTGCTAATGATGGAGGACATGTAGAAACTTAAATAAAATTTCAATAAAACCTTAAAAAATATAGATTTACTTCTTTCTAATCCTTTTTACAAATTATTTCTATCGCAAATACAAATAAATTTATAAATTTTTTTTTTAAGTGCACACGAACTTTATGGACACCCTGTACAGTCTTTCGCAATACTAAGCTCTGAACACAATATTTTGCTGTAATAAGCTTTGGATGCGGTATTTTGCAGTACTAAGTTTTGGTCACAGTCTTTCACATTACTAAGCTCGGGATGTTGATTTTTGCAGTACTAAGCTCTGGACACAGTCTTTTGAAGTACTAAGATCTAGATGCAGTCTTTTGAAGTAATAAGATCTAGATGCAGTCTTTTGAAGTAATAAGATCTAGATGCAGTCTTTTGAAGTACTAAGATCTAGATGCAGTCTTTTGAAGTACTAAGATCTAGATGCAGTCTTTTGTAGTACTAAGATCTGGATGCATTCTTTTGTAGTACTCAGCTCTGGATGCAGTCTTTTGCAGTACTAAGATCTGAATGCTGCTTTTTGCAGTACTAGGTTCAGGACACAGTCATTTGCACTCCTAAGCTTTGGACACAATCTTTTGCAATCTTGCAGTTTTGGAATACAGTCTTTTGTTGTACTAAACTCAGTATATATTGTATTAAAGAAAACTAGGAGAAAATAAAATTAAATTTGCTTTTATATTGTTTATTTGCCTTTAAATAAACCAAAAAAAAGAGAAATTTTACTAAACCAAATTTGATCTGATAATTTTGACTCAAATCTTTGAGATGAGGAACTGATTTGGATGCTAATAGGATATAGAATAATATCCAAACAAAATGGTGATAATGAGAGAAAGATTTTATAGAAAACACATTCCACCTCCATCTCCCAGGTTTCCTCAGGTCAGAATAAGACACAGACACTTCATCTTAGTTGCTATGGTTACTACAACAACCAAAATGAGGATACTAGTCTGCATAAATCAGTATGGAAGATACAATATTAAGTTGAGATGAATTCTTTTCTGGTATAGTTATTACTATGTTGGTAGATAGTATTATGTGCCTTGTTTTATCAAGATTATTCAGGTTATTTTCTTTTCTATCTTGTGAATTCAGTAAATTTTCCTTCTTGCATTATATCTGAAATAATTAGGATATTTGACGTGTTTAAAAATATTTTCAATGTTTTTTTTTCTTCATTACATAAATATTAAGAGCTACAAATTTTAAGCGTTCTTAAATAGAAGCTGATGATTATTCTGGATTTTATTTTTTGTTGTGGTGTGTTAATTGATTTGTTTTTTTTTATGGCTTATCAACCCTTTCCTGGTTATTTATTTTGGATTGTAAGAATAATTCTTTTTTGGCTGGGAGTAAATATTGCATTAAGAGTTTTTTGAGAATAGCAATGATTTTTCCAGATACAAGTCCTACTATTTAATCCATAGCTGGGGCAGGAAATGGATTCATACCTTTCTAAAGGGTATTTGCACAGAAGCAAATGCAAAAAACCCTGTTTCTTATTTTTTTCTTTTCTTCCTCTTATTATTATTATTTATTGAGAATATTTTTCAGTCATGCTTAACCATGCCTGCCTATTTTACAATTGTGCTACTTCTGTCCCATAATAATTGTTACATCTGCATATACATTTCATTCATAAAATGTAGCAACTATTATGGGACAGACATAGTCCCTTGTGATATTACTGAACCTCTGTCCCATAATAGTTGCTACATATGCTTACACATTTCATACACTAAATGTAACAACTATTATGGGACAAGGCATTTTTATTACCTCTGTCTTGTAATTGTTACATTTGTATACATATTTCATTCACAAAATATAACAAATATTATGGGACAAAAGTAGTCCATTATTTTATTATTATACAACCTGTCTCATAATAGTTGCTACATTTGCCTGCACATTTTATACACTAAATGTAGCAACTATTATGGGACAGTATTTAAATAGCCTTTCTCTTGTAATAATTGTTACATTTATTTATAGATTTCATATACTAAATATATCACCTAATATATGACAGCATATTATTTACGACCACTGTCCCATAATAATTGTTACATATGCATACATAATTCATACACTAAATGCAGCAACTATTATGGGACAGATTATTTTTTCAGTATCACTGTCCCATAATAATTGTTACATATGCATACATAATTCATACACTAAATGCAGCAACTATTATGGGACAGATTATTTTTTCAGTATCACTGTTCCATAATAATTGTTACATATGCATACATAATTCATACACTAAATGCAGCAACTATTATGGGACAGATTATTTTTTCAGTATCACTGTCCCATAATAATTGTTACATATGCATACATAATTCATACACTAAATGCAGCAACTATTATGGGACAGATTATTTTTTCAGTAGTATCACTGTTCCATAATAATTGTTACATATGCATACATAATTCATACACTAAATGCAGCAACTATTATGGGACAGATTATTTTTCAGTATCACTGTTCCATAATAATTGTTACATATGCATACATAATTCATACACTAAATGCAGCAACTATTATGGGACAGATTATTTTTTCAGTATCACTGTTCCATAATAATTGTTACATATGCATACATAATTCATACACTAAATGCAGCAACTATTATGGGACAGATTATTTTTTCAGTATCACTGTTCCATAATAATTGTTACATATGCATACATAATTCATACACTAAATGCAGCAACTATTATGGGACAGATTATTTTTTTCAGTATCACTGTTCCATAATAATTGTTACATATGCATACATAATTCATACACTAAATGCAGCAACTATTATGGGACAGATTATTTTTTCAGTATCACTGTTCCATAATAATTGTTACATATGCATACATAATTCATACACTAAATGCAGCAACTATTATGGGACAGATTATTTTTTCAGTATCACTGTTCCATAATAATTGTTACATATGCATACATAATTCATACACTAAATGCAGCAACTATTATGGGACAGATTATTTTTCAGTATCACTGTTCCATAATAATTGTTACATATGCATACATAATTCATACACTAAATGCAGCAACTATTATGGGACAGATTATTTTTTCAGTATCACTGTTCCATAATAATTGTTACATATGCATACATAATTCATACACTAAATGCAGCAACTATTATGGGACAGATTATTTTTTTCAGTATCACTGTTCCATAATAATTGTTACATATGCATACATAATTCATACACTAAATGCAGCAACTATTATGGGACAGATTATTTTTTTCAGTATCACTGTTCCATAATAATTGTTACATATGCATACATAATTCATACACTAAATGCAGCAACTATTATGGGACAGATTATTTTTCAGTATCACTGTCCCATAATAATTGTTACATATGCATACATAATTCATACACTAAATGCAGCAACTATTATGGGACAGATTATTTTTTTCAGTATCACTGTTCCATAATAATTGTTACATATGCATACATAATTCATACACTAAATGCAGCAACTATTATGGGACAGATTATTTTTTTCAGTATCACTGTTCCATAATAATTGTTACATATGCATACATAATTCATACACTAAATGCAGCAACTATTATGGGACAGATTATTTTTTTCAGTATCACTGTCCCATAATAATTGTAACATATGCATACATAATTCATACACTAAATGCAGCAACTATTATGGGACAGATTTTTTTTCAGTGTCACTGTCCCACAATAATTCATACACTTGCATACACAAAACATTAATTATTATGGGACAGAGGGGAGTATTATTTTTTAAGAAAACTTTTTTTGAAATTACAGTGAATTTAGAAAAAATTTTTTATCCTGAAAATAAAAAAGGTCTCTTATCAATTTTTTATGTATTTCAGAAAAACATTTTAAAATTCAGTTTAAAATTTTAGAAATGCTTTCTTGAACATGCCAATTACAGATAAAAAAAATTTTAATATTATTTTCGATGCACTTTATTTATTATGGTGGGTGATATTTGGTTGTGTGGAAAAAGATGGTCGCCCACTGGTTCAAACAAATTCAGCTTTATATACTCACCTGTCGGCTAATCCACCTTCTGTTAATCCAGATATCATGATTGGATCCAGGGGGCTATCAGTCCCAGATATTGTAATTCCCAGTGCACCACCCCGTTTTTGCAATTCCACTGTATATGTGACACAGTCATCATTATCATCATCTAAAAAATACATATAAAAAATGTAAGTTATATATATATATATATACATACATACATACATACACAGGAAGCGATTGATAAATTGTCATCTAAATTACACAAAAACATCTTGAAATACTAAAGAGTAAATTTTATCTGTCCATATTTCTGAGATGAGGTATTATGTACACTATTTACATTATTCGGACTCATCTTTGTTGCCATATTTATCACAGCGTTTCAGCCATTGTACACTTTAGCCTTCTTCAGGTGGTTGGAATGTCAAACTGAACCACTCGATGCATTCATGGGAAAGATAGAGGAGTGGTTTTCCATTGCTTGGAATCCAGAGTAGCATTTCTTCTGAGCCCAGTCTACCCTACTATTTAAATCATAGCCGGGGGGAAAGAGATCAATTTATGCTTTCCAAACTGCATCTGAGTGAAAGTGAATGCAAGAGCGACCTACCTTAAAAGAACATTACTTCTTTTGTTTTGTAGCACTTGTGAAGAAAAATCTATAAATCTTTATAAATTTCAGATTTGGTAGAATTAACAAATTTGCCAGATTCAAATTATAGTGGACACACTATGAGAACATAAGTCCATGTTTATAGTGGACACACTACTATAAGAATGTATATATAGAGGACACATTATAAGAACGTATTTATAGTGGACACACTATAAGAACATATTTATAGTGGACACAGTATAAGACCATATATATATATAGAGGACACACTATAAGAATGTATTTATAGTGGACACTATAAGACCGTATTTATAGAGGACACAAAAAAAACATATATATAGAGGACACACTATAAGAATGTATTTATAGTGGACACTATAAAACCATATTTATAGAGGACACATTATAAGACCATATTTATAGAGGATGCACTATTAGACCATATTTATAGTGGACACACTATTAGAATGCATTTATAGTGGATACTATAATACCATATTTATACAGCACATACTATAAGACCATATTTATAGAGGACACACTATAAGAACGTATTTATAGTGGACACTATAAGACCATATATATAGAGGACACACAATAAAATGTATTTATAATGGGCACTATAAGACCGTATTTATAGAGGACATACTATAAGAACATATTCCGTTAATGAATCAGACAAAAAATTAAAATCTATTTTTATTGAAAAATTATTAAGATACAATTTCCCTACTTAGTGGATATGAACTGAAAATAAAATTTAATTTAATTTACAAATTACAAAGAAAGAAACAAATTCCATGACATTTAAAACGTATGTAAGTATCTCAGTTTCAGTCACTTTGCCACCTGCGTAATTAATTTAGTTTCCCCTGGGGGGCCTTTTCTGTAAATATTTTCATGGTAATTAGTCTGATGAGCTTTCTTCTTTGGTACCTAGACTTTATGAATTTAAGTGCAGTACTAGATTGGCAACTAGGTCTCATCATTTTACAACTGAAATTACTAGATGTAACTTTTAATTCAAATGCTAACACTTCTCTCAGGTGAGAAACTCTTCTGGATTCTTGCTTTCCAGGTAACTTTGATCTTCAAAAATGTAAATGCAATGCCAATCATTATTTTTCATTTTCTTAATTCCTGTTCTTTTATTGTTTCTCTCTCTTTAATAATGGTTCCTTTTTTGTCATATTCTCTCACCTCATTAATCCCTTGTGTCTTAGTGGCTTTATTGCCTTGTTTGGGATGAAATAATTAAAAAAAAAGGTATAGATATTAAATTATTAGAAATTTTATATTCTTCAAATAACACACATTCAAACTGAACAAAGTATTTTTCTGATAAATATTTGTGTGCATTTTGTGTCTGCTATTATGTGCTAAGTACAAATAAAAGGACAAAGCATCAAGTAGTCACCGAGAGTCCATGTGATAGTCTGAGGACCAAGCAGATGTTACAGTCCAAGCTGAAGTCATTAAGAAATTTATTTTGTGTCTAGTCTATTTCCTCTCATACATAAATGGTCTTCATAAGAAAATGGAGTGAAAATAGAGAAAAAATTTTTTATTTTTTTTTGTAAAACACCTCAATTTATTATCTCTCTTCTTTTCCTTTGCTTTGTGGACATGTTGAATATTTTTACAAGGCAAAAATTTTACATCCTCACTCAAGCTTCTACAGTTTGAGGTACTCAGTCAGTTATATGCCACACATGATACATGTGTAGGCAATCATGTATCTTTTGATACATGACTGATGAGGCAGATTTTTTCCCACAGTAGGACGCCATTTCTTTCTGTGGTAGATCAGATGCCATCCAAGGCTATAGAACCCGGTCTGTCATGCTACTTACCCATAGCTGTGGAGAGAACAGAATTCATACCTTTACCAAGGGTATCAACACGTAAGTGAATGTAATGGATTCAACTGGAAACTCGGTCAGTCAGTTATGTGCCATGCGTGATACATGCTTAGGTGATCATGAATCTTTCAATACGTGACTGACAAGGCAGTAGGTGGCCATTTCTTTCTGCAGTAGACCAGTTGCCATCCAAGGCTAGAGAACCTGGTTTGTCCTGCTATTTACCCATAGCTGGGGAGGGAGAGAAGAAGAGGATTCATACCTTTCCCAAGGGTATTAGCACGTAAGTGAATGTAATGGATTCGACTGGAAAGTCAGTCAGTTATGTGCCATGCGTGATACATGCTTAGGCGATCATGAATCTTCGACACATGACTGACGAGGTAGATTTTTTTCCCACAGTAAGTTGCTATTTCTTTCTGCGGTAGACCAGTTTCCATTCAAGGCTAGAGAATCTGGTCTGTCCTACCTATTTTAAAAATAAATATTAGTTTCTTAAAGTATCGTTTAATTTAAAACAAAATATTACCTATTCTTTAAAAAAAATTTTTTTTTTTAATACTTCTTGTATACTATCTTGTTTACTTACCACCATAGGGATCATCTCGTCGGAGTTTCAATGTAATAATATCATCTGCTGAATCTAACAAATTAGCGGCATCTTTTCAGAGCAGTTCTCCATTCGAATATTATTGATGGCCAGGAGCTTGTCTCTAGGTTGGATGGAACCACACCTGTAGAGGAAGAACAAAATCAAAACGATAAAAGACATTTTTTCCAACAGGTGACAGGTTCTAACCATTTTGACTAAGATTTAAAAAAAAAAAAAATGAAATCTGTTTGTCTTCAGGCTCATGGATATTGAAACACTGGTTCTCATATGATCACTAAAGTTAAGTAATGTCGAGCCTGATCAGTACCTTGATAGGTGACCACTTGGGAATACTATCTGCTGGAAGACTGGATGTGAAGATGGTGTAATGGATAATAGTTCAGAGTTGAAAATCAGAAAGCTGAGTTCCAATTCAAGTAAGGTTCATCTAATTGGGAAAGGTATGTCAGTGGAGAACTTTCAGAGGGAAATTAACAGAGATAACTAATAACTGAAATCCATTAAACATGGCACGTGGAACTAGAACAGTCTACCCCAGTGAGTGAAATAAAGGGTTCACTTTGTCATTCCAACCACCTGAAGAAGGCCAGAGCGCATAAACGGCCGAAAAATTGTAATAAATATGGTGACAAAGATGAGGACAAAAGTCCGAATAATGTAAACTGAACCCTTTATTTCACTCACTGGGGTAGACTGTTCTAGTTCCACGTGCCAAACATGGCACGTGGAACTAGAACAGTCTACCCCAGTGAGTGAAATGGATGTCAGTTATCAGTTATCTCCTGTTAATTCATCTCTGAAAGTTCTCCACTGCCTTAGCCGGGTATTGAACTCTTTGGGTCCTGTCACTGGATCTAACTAACACCTTTATCCACTGTGCCATGTGTCCTTGAGGACATCTGTGTATGAATTTCTGGGTATTATAAACATATAAATGTCTTCAGCCATCATTTTTTACCAGTGCTCATATTGCAATTTTTGTTGTTATTATTGCTTTTCTCTGGCACTCCTTATTACTGGTTCCCATATTGTATTCATTTCTTGTGTTCTTGTTCTTCAAATATAAACTTTATTTACTATTTACCACAGTCTTATAATTGTAGTTACATTTAATTTACTTCCTATACTAAATGTATATACCTATTATGGGATGGAGTATTTTGCACTTCATGTGTCCCATAATGGTTGATACATGTGCACATGCATTATATACCTAAAATGCATCAACTATTATGGGACAGAACATTTTCCACTACCCATGTCGCATAAGAAGCAAGTTCTTCTCAGACAGCTTTTTCTAAAGAACTGACATTTTGTGGGACAGATTCCTGCATGAAAAATTCCCTGAATGCTTTAATCTTGACCTGGTCAAAGGTCAATCATCGTCTTATTCTCATAATCTCCCCTTTCTACCACATTCTCTTCCACATATATAACACACCCATCACCACTACCCTCTACCTTGAGGTGCTCTCGAGCCCTGTAATAGGTGAGATTTAGCAAAAAAAAAATGGTTGTTACATTTGAATACACATTTCATATACTATATGTAACAACTAATATGGGGCAAGATCAATTAATTCATTTTTTATGGCTTATCAACCCTTTGTAGGCAGAAGAATTTTATGGTGATAATAATGATTTATTGATATGTCCTCCTAAATAACCTATATCTTGGAGAGAAGAGGTGGATTAATACTTTTCCCAAGGGTATTTGCACATAAGTGAATATAACGAAACCTGACTGGAATTAGAACTTGGCTCTCCAATTAACAATTCTAAGCCATTGTCCATTGCACCACCTGCACATTCAAGCTTACAGCACCTGGCATTCTCAAGTGGTTACTCATCTAGGCTCGATGTTGCTTAACTTCAGTGATTGTATGTGAATTTTAATGGGATACTAAGATAAGAGACACAGGTGATTTTTTTATTTAACTGTTTCATGACTTTTGACATTTTATACACTAAATGTAACAAATTATGGGACAAAGTATTTTCTACTGCCTCTGTCCCATAATATTTGTTACATTTGCATACATTATTCCTACATGAAATGTAACACCTATTATGGGACAAAGTATTTTCTACTGCCTCTGTCCCATAATAATTGTTACATTTGCATACATTATTCCTACATGAAATGTAACACCTATTATGGGACAAAGTATTTTCTACTGCCTCTGTCCCATAATAATTGTTACATTTGCATACATTATTTTACATGAAATGTAACACCTATTATGGGACAAAGTATTTTCTACTGCCTCTGTCCCATAATAATTGTTACATTTGCATACATTATTATTTACATGAAATGTAACACCTATTATGGGACAAAGTATTTTCTACTGCCTCTGTCCCATAATAATTGTTACATTTGCATACATTATTCCTACATGAAATGTAACACCTATTATGGGACAAAGTATTTTCTACTGCCTCTGTCCCATAATATTTGTTACATTTGCATACATTATTCCTACATGAAATGTAACACCTATTATGGGACAAAGTATTTTTACTGCCTCTGTCCCATAATAATTGTTACATTTGCATACATTATTCCTACATGAAATGTAACACCTATTATGGGACAAAGTATTTTCTACTGCCTCTGTCCCATAATATTTGTTACATTTGCATACATTATTCCTACATGAAATGTAACACCTATTATGGGACAAAGTATTTTCTACTGCCTCTGTCCCATAATAATTGTTACATTTGCATACATTATTCCTACATGAAATGTAACACCTATTATGGGACAAAGTATTTTCTACTGCCTTTGTCCCACAATCATTGTTACATTTTGCATACACAGTTCATACAATAAATGCAATAACTATTGTTTAATTAACTTTATACAATTACAACATTATTTAAATCATTTCAAACTTCTTTTTTTACGTTAGTATAGTACACTGCATTTGGTCAATTACAATATTTGCAGTACTGAGGAGAGAAAATCTAAGGCTCACCGGTTGGCCACGCTTCCTTTACGGACATCTGTTATCATTAAAGGGTCATTGGACTTGCGATTATTTGGAGCTGAAAAATTCAGTTTATTTTTAAATTAGACAAAAGTAATTTAAACTGAAGTGAATTAATTTTAATTAAAATTACTACGTTTTTTAATTTTATTTAAAAACAATAAATACATTACCAAATTCGCTATCAAGGTATTTCATTACAAAAGAGACTTCTTTTTTAAAAAAAGTTTACTATAGGAATAAACTGAAAAGCATTTGCTATAGAGATATTCACTGTAATCATTCACAAAATGAACTTATAGAATTTACTAAAGAAATGATCTGTAAAGGTTTGCAATAAAAATAAACAGAAAAAGATTCACCATAAAAATTCATAGAGTTGGATTTACTATAGAAATAAATTCATTTGATATAGAAACATTGGAAAAGGTTCATTATAAGAACACAGTGATAGATTTACTATAGAATTAAAGTAGTAAAGTTTTACAACAGAAAGACATAGGAAATAATAAAAGTACATTATGAATTTTACTATAGAAATGAATTAAGAATTATTTACTGTAGAATATCTTTTAAATCGAAAACTCACTCGACATTTGTTTTAGACACAATCATGACTTCTGAAAAGTTTGTTAATTTGGAACTTACCATTAACTGTGATGCCAAGACCATAACTCCGTTGAGGGAGCTTAACAACAAAAGTTCCTGAACTTGGAAGGACTGATTCTGGGGGGAAAAAAAAAAGAAAAAAATTAACACCTTTAACCCTAGAAAACCAACCATGGGTATATAGTACCCAGCACAAATTTTCCTATTTTTGATTACAATATTCAATACATGATTTTCTTACCTAAATAATATGTTTTTCAGTTCCTATTAATGTTAACTCAAAGTACAAAGTTTGAAGTGCCTGCATGTAAAATATTTCAAATAAAGATTTATATTTAATATTTTTTTGATATTTTCAAAATTGGATATGATATACTCATGGTTAGTAGTGGTGTAACTTTAATTGATGGTTAGTGTTCTAAGGTTAAGCTAATGACTAAAACAGGGCTTTATCTGGGTCCAGAAGTTAGACTTAAAGGTGTCTGTCCATTGTATAAGATTTTTGAAGCTCAGTAACACTAATTTCAAATTGATTACTAATGACTATTAATGTCTATTCTGGGACATTTGTTAATTTTGTAAGACCATGGATCTGAACCTGACAGTCTTGATTCTTTATCAGGGCACGGATTATGAAATGAACTCCTGGAAGGAGGCTTTCTTGATTGGGACAATCTTAATCTCTTCAGTATACTCATAATATACACCTGTTGCTCCTTCCCTTTCCTTACAACAACCTCATTTACTAACTCTCTACCTTGAGTGGTTCATGGGCCTTGTATTGGGTGAACAATAAAGAAAAATTAACTGAACATAGAGGAAGTTTCCCTTTTCCATGCAAGGGAGAGCATAAAATGGTACGGATTGGCATCAGTGATATTGCAGAGGTTGCCAGAATAAGCACAGAACTGCCGTGGGACTGTAGAAGTGGATTTGTTCTTAGCGCTTAGGACTTATACTTTTTTGATTAATGAGTATGTCTAGAAGAGAGCAATGGTTTGAATTCAGTATTTTCCTTCTCTGAGACAGGTTGCCACCATAGGTGGAAGAACACAGTCTACCCTACTATTTAACCAACAGGCATAGCAAGTTACAAATATTAAAGAAAAGAAAGTTGTGAGGAATGGTGAAGAGAGATGATTTTAATTAAAAAAACAAAAACAAAAAAAAACATAAATATAGCACTGCCCAATCAATGTGCAAGAAATTTTTTACCAATGACCAATCAGCTTTCATTCATTTATCAACCAATCAGATTCTGCCAAGTGAAAATCACTAAAGGTTTAATTTTCATTTGAGCAAGGGAGTTAATTCAAGGTTGACATTGATAATGAATAATAAATTAAATAAATAATTTTTTTTTTTTTTTTTTTTTTTTTTTACTAATGTTCACTCAATACAAGGCCCAAGAGCCACTCAAGGTAGAGGGTTATTATGTGGTCTTGTATGAGCATAAGGGCAAGAAATGTTGTTCTTGGGGCTATGCAAGAAAGATAACAGCAGACTTTAATTATTGAATAACAATTCAGACTTCAGTCAGAGATGTCAGGAGTATAGAGTGGAAGTAGAATTCAGAAGGAACTTAGAACACAATCCTAAACAGAAAACAAGGGATAAACCTCTACTCCTGTTCAAAAACTGGAAAGGAGTGTGAACCGGACAAGCACTAAAATCATGAAGAGAGCATATTTTTCTTAAAAAATGTCTTTACCTGTAACATCGTATTCAATTTCTAATAAACATCGGGAACCTGATTCTTTAAGAAACTGGTTAGCTTCATCAAAAGTCTTGTCCAGCAGTTCATGACCATTTATTGAGATGATTCTGTCTCCTTCCTGAATTACACCACACCTGTAAAAAAAAAAAATCAGATTTATTTGCACCTGAAAATTTGGTTTCTTCTTACATAATATTACAATTATTATTCTTTCCTGGGTATGACAATAAACTACATCCAGCAGCAAGGCCTTTGATTGGGAGATTGGAGGTTCTGAGGATCGTGGCACCACCTCTTAACTGCTATTATTCCCAGGTCCTCCCTGACCTGGGGTGGTAGCACCTATTAGGGTCCCAACTATAGGCAAATAGTACCCCCTCTCACATACACACACACACACACGCACACACAAAAATCAAAAGTACATATATTAAGTTTGCTCCATCCTTATCATTTTTTTATTTTATCCCAATATTCTAGGTTGATATATTGCCAGTTATGGCCCTCCCCAATTTCCTGTTATCTATAGCTCTTAATAAATTTTCTCTTTTTTGTTATCTCTCCTAAACCTTGTTTCACCTTCCATTTACTCAAGCTCGCTAGGTAGGTTATGCATTGTTTTCCTTTGTCCCACTTGCTTTCAATGCCCTATGAGTATCAAATTTTCCAAGCCATCTTTCCTCATTATGTGTCCAAGAAACTTTAACTAGCTCTTTCTGATGTTAAGTATAATAAAAAATTTTGTTTCTGTTTTAAAGAAAACTTTGTTGCTGCTTACATGTTCAGTCAATGGTATTCTCAGCATCCTTCTGTAGAACCACATTTCTGTTGGTTCAAGTCTCTTCTTCATCTGTGAGGAGATTTTCCAGAATTCACTGTCATACTGGAGAACTGATATGACATAACAGTCAGTACTCTTTTCTTTGTTTCTAATGAAATTTTTCTATTTTTTAATACTTTGCTTAGCTTTTGGAAGGCATCTTTTGCTATCCCAATACACCTTTATATTTCAGTGTCACATTTTCTGTCCTCTGTTAAAACACTTCCCAGATATTTCTAGTTTTAATTCATTTATTTTCTTACCACAGTTCACGGGGGTGGTTACATTCATTATTATTATTAATAATAATAATAATAATAAATTATAAAATAGTAATAACAATAAAATAGCAATAAATTATATAAAATAAAAATTATATATAAAATCATATATATTATATATAAATATAGTCTTTAATCACTGTATTGATTGATGAGCCTGGAAGAACTAACTTTAAGTCTCTACAACTGTATTGGACTGTCACACGGTTAGGCATTCATCCAATTTCTGATGGAGTTTTTCTGACTGCCTGCATTGGTGTATCATATCGGATTGGTAACAATTCGATAATTCTATCGGAACTTCTGGGTTTGGTTTGGTTTGGTTTATTTTGTTTTACGGCATATCAACCTCAATGGGTTATTTAAAGAAACAACATTTTTAGGATAGTTTCGTATGAATAGAATATGTATTCTTTGGTTTAGATTGGTTTGGTTTATTTTGTTTTACAGCATATCAACCTCAATGGGTTATTTAATGCAAACAAAAATTTTTTAGGATAGATTGTATGAATAGAATATGTATTCTTTGGTTTAGATTGGTTTGGTTTATTTTGTTTTACGGCATATCAACCTCAATGGGTTATTTAGTGATAACAACAATTTTAGGATAGTTTTAAATGAATAGAATATGTATTCTTTGGTTTAGATTGGTTTGGTTTATTTTGTTTTACAGCATATCAACCTCAATGGGTTATTTAATGCCGACAACATTTTTAGGATAGATTCGTATGAATAGAATATGTATTCTTTGGTTTAGATTGGTTTGGTTTATTTTGTTTTACGGCATATCAACCTCAATGGGTTATTTAGTGCCGACAACATTTTTAGGATAGTTTCGTATGAATAGAATATGTATTCTTTGGTTTAGATTGGTTTGGTTTATTTTGTTTTACAGCATATCAACCTCAATGGGTTATTTAATAAAACAACATTTTTTAGGATAGATTATTATGAATAGAATATGTATTCTTTGGTTTAGATTGGTTTGGTTTATTTTGTTTTTACGGCATATCAACCTCAATGGGTTATTTTAATTGCTCAAACAACATTTTTTAGGATAGTTTTTGTATGAATAGAATATGTATTCTTTGGTTTAGATTGGTTTGGTTTATTTTGTTTTACAGCATATCAACCTCAATGGGTTATTTAATGCCTAAAACATTTTTAGGATAGATTCATTATGAATAGAATATGTATTCTTTGGTTTAGATTGGTTTGGTTTATTTTGTTTTGAGCATATCAACCTCAATGGGTTATTTAGTGCCGACAACATTTTTAGGATAGTTTTATGAATAGAATATGTATTCTTTGGTTTAGATTGGTTTGGTTTATTTTTGTTTTACAGCATATCAACCTCAATGGGTTATTTAATGCCAACAACATTTTTAGGATAGATTCATTATGAATAGAATATGTATTCTTTGGTTTAGATTGGTTTGGTTTATTTTGCTTTTATGGCATATCAAGCTCAATGGGTTATTTAATGCTGACAATTTTTTTTATTGCTGGTAATATTTTGTTTTGTCAAAAAATCTGTTTCTGGTAATATTTTTTCCTTCAAAATTGTATTAAATATAATATTTTTTTCAAAAATGTATTGCTGGTAATAGTTAACTATTTGCCCATAGCAATGGGATAAAAAACAGGTGCTAAATTTAGGTCATGTCAGGGTGTGGACCTGGGAACACCAGCAATTAAGAGGTGGTTCCACACTCCTCAAAACCTTCTGATTAGAGGCCTTGCTGCTGGATGCAGCTTAACGTCTTACCCAGGACGCGGATGCAGCTTAACGTTTTACCCAGGACATGGATGCAGTTTAACGTCTTACGTGGATGCAGTTTAACGTCTTACCCAGGACGTGGATGTAGTTTGAAGTCTTACCTAGGACAACAGAAATTCTGGGATGGGGAATTATCATGAGGACAATAGTCCGAATGTAAATATTGTGAATAATGATGACACCTCATCCAAGAAATTTAGACAAAAATTGCACATGAGTTGAGGTGTTTCGGAAAATTTTATTTAAAAAAAACACAAAAAAAATCCAAGGTTTTACAGTAGAAAAAAAGTAGCTCATTTAACAAACAGACCTTAAGTTTCTCATATGTGCTTTATTATCATGTCCTTGTGCCAGACTAAACAGATTAAATAACTATATTCATGCTGTTGGGATTTTAAAAATACACAAAAATAGATAAATAAACAGAAATACATTTTCAAATCCCCATTACTATTTCATCAATAGACACATCTAAAAGCAGACTGATGTCACTCTTATGCAGGCATCATCGTAAGCACATGACTCTTTTTCAACCAATAGGAACATGACAACAAAAAAATATTATATTTTGTCTTTCATTTGGAGCCTATCTCTGGCCTATATGAGAATACACACAAAAACATGGAGGACTCACAGCAAGCATATGCTGGAGCACACAGCAAACTCACAGTAGTGCATATAATGTACTCACATCCGCACGCCATGCTAAAGAAAGCCTTCTCATTTGAACACTAGTGCCATACAGTGAGATCAACCAAAGTGAGATAAGATACTTGCCCAAAAACCCAACTACATCAATTGTAGAAAAAGAAACTTCCTAAGTGAGTTACTTATATTCATAAAAATATACACATACACTCATATATATGCATATATTCTTCACACTTACATATATTACACACACAAACAAATATATATATATATATATATATATATATATATATATATATATATATATATATATATGACATTTGATTTCCTGAACTTTATTTCTTTAGTCAATAAATTTCTCTAACCTTTCAGAGAACAGATTTACATTTTTTCTTAATTGTTGTCATGGTTTTTATCAAATTGCATTTAAATTTACTGTTTTATTCTTAATTTTGGGCATGTGAAGGATCATTTGCTCTTTCTTTCTCTTTCCAGCTGAAACATCACATTTTTTTTTTTTTCTCAATAGATCAGCAGTAAATGCCTCCATTTGACCATCAAAACAATGTCAGCAACAATCACCATTAGCCAATGCAACAATGATAATAGAAATATAATCAAAACATTGAATGATTTTGAAGATGAATAAAATTTTGGTGATTTAAAATATGCTTACCTATCAGCAGCTGATCCAGGGTCCACATATGAAATGACAGGAGGTTCAGACAGTAATGTTGTAGAGAAAATTCCACCGGCAAGAGTGATACCTGGCCCTCGTCTGTCATGGTAAAGGATCACTTCAACTACCTCAGTATGACAAATTTGATTGTTTGGCATCACTGAAGTGACAGTTGATGCTACTGACACTATAAACAAAGAGAAAAAAGAGGAAAGCAGCCATTTTGAATGTTGGTCGGTAAAGACTGACAGAAAATAAATTTTGAGAGGAAAGAGTGAGAGAGAAAGGAAATGGAAAAATGACTGTGAGAAAAAATAAAACGAGAAGGAGAGAAAGATAAAGACAGAGAGAGGAGAAAAGAAAAAAGAGAAAGAGAAGGTGAAAAGAGAAAATGCTAAAAAGAAGAAAGGTGAAGTAATCAGAGAGAGAAAGACATATAAAGACAGAGAGAAACAAATAGAAAAGAGAGACAGAGGAGGAAAAAAGAAAGATAAACAAAGAGAGAGAAAAAGTAAAAAAAAGAGAAAATGCTAAAATGAAAGAGAAATATATATATATATATATATATATATATATATTATTAGTAGTAATCTTATAAGAAATTATACTCGTTCAGAAAACCTTTGGTGTCTTGATTTGCAAATAATCAAACCAATACCAAAGGGAAAAAAAAAGGTATAAAAAAAAAAAGAACCAAGAACATATATAAAAAAAAAAAAATAATCATCTAATATGCAATTCCAAAGCCCAAAGAAAAAAACCCATATATTTACACAAAATAACTAAATAAAGTGCTCAATACAATAAGTAGAGCAGACTAATTTAAAGCTAAAGAGCCAGACAAACCTTTCAAAGGTTTCATGTTTTAAGCAGATCATCAGGGAAGCTAGGTTTGTCTGGCTCTCTAGCTTTAACTATATATATATATATATATATATATGTCTGTTTCATTAAAAACGACAGACAAGGTACTATGGTTATGCTTTTTATTTAATTTTTCTTGTGTTTGAACAAGAGCTTTCTCTGGACAAAGAGTGTGTAAAAACTGTCCAAATGTTTTATAGTTCTGAGTGCTTTTGGCTATACCTTTAGCCATTATCAAGGATGATTCGATTTTTCAACTTAAATGAGTGTAATGCGTTCTGTGTATGTCTTAACATTTTGGTAGGATATTTTTAATTTAAAATACAAGTTAAAAACATTGTGGCCTTGTTCATAGTTAATATTGTTAAGAGTTGGCTTTTTCTTTTTTTTATTATTGAAGCTTCCATTATTTTTAATCTTTTTATATATATATATATATATATATATATATATATATATAAATAATGTTGAAATGTAGACATACCAGGAAATATATGCTGAGCCAGTATAAGTCCAGAAGAACAAATTTTTTTTTTTGGTTCCTCCAACTCTCCTCTTCCCTTCTGATATATCTAATTTGTGATGCTTTGTTAATTTATTTCAGTGGGCATGAATAATACATACAGGTTAACCCTGCACAAGTAACTGCCCTGATGATATATAAGGTTAAATATATATATATATTATATATGGATTTATATATATATATATATATATATATATATATATTTTGAACAATAAAAAAATATTAAAAATTAAAATCTTCAGAAACACTGGGTTGTATATTAATATTCTTTCTTTTTCCTTATTATTTCATTTAGATTCCTTGACTAGTTTCGGCCAACATAGCCATCATCAGGAAAAAAAATTTTCTGCTTGCTGGTAGCAGTGAACTACAGAAATGAATGTCTTGATGGAGAAAATGAACTTTTGTCTGTAGTTTTCATTTGTTTTTTTTTGTTTTTTTTTTAACATGAATTTTGGCAACTCCTTCTGTTGGTCAAACAGTCTCTTTTGAATTGTTATTTGAGATAAGAGCTGGATGGATTCATGCTGCTCTGAATTCCCTTGGTCATTTTGACAGTTTTATTGGTTCCTGGAAAGGGGATGTGTCTCTGTTAAGTGTGTGTGTGTTATTTGGTTCTTAGGGAGTGAGTGAGTATGATGCATGTAAGCATGTATATTACTATGGGTGTATGTTATCATTTGGCTCATTAGGGAGTGAGTGAATATGATGTGTGTAAGTGTATATATTCGTGTGAGTGTGTGTATAAGTGTGAGGCCTCAATACCTCCGTAAGCATGTCTGTCTTGTGTGGGTGAGAAATGTGGGTAGGTTTTGATTTGCTGGGTTATATATTAATACTATCTATATTGTTATGCTGGATATTGTGTTTTTAAACGTTGTATCCACTTCTTTTCATGGAACTCTAAAATCTTTCTAATGTTATCTGCTCTCTCTCTCTCTCTCTCTATATATATATATATATATATTGGGAGAGAGGAAGTAAGATAAAATAAACAGAAAGAGAAAGAAGAACAGAGAAAAGGAAAGACAGAGGAGGGAAAAAAGAAAGATAAAATAAACAGAGATAGAGAAAAGAAAGTCGAGAGAGAGAAGAGAAAATACCTAAAGGAAAAATGAAAGGGAAAAGGAGATATATAAGCAGAGAGAGAAATTGAAAGTTAAAATTAGTAGAGAGAGAGAGAGAGAGAGAGGATGCATCAAAACATCAAAAGAAAGAGATATAATGCTAAAATGAAGTTTATTATGGGAAGATAGAAAGAAAAAAAAATTCTTTTGTTAAGGAAGAGGAAATGATAAAATTAGATAACTACCATACTGTTATGGCCATCTTGAAATGTCTTCTGTTTTTAACTTTTTTTAGTTATGTCCATCTTTTTATGCCATAATAAAATAAATATTATTGTATAAAGGATCTTCTTTTCTCAAAGGTTGTACATAATTTCTTTATTAACCTTTATCACTCTGTATGTGACTTCATTTGCTGTGAAAAACATTTATCCTGCCACTGAAGGTGACTCTGATCCCTGAACTTGAATTTGTTAGAATTTCATAGTTGTGTTGTCATATCCTGCTATGGCAACAGAAAACACCTTTTGAGTGAAAATTAACAATAAGGTTACTGCAATTAAAAGGCCTTGAAATAGAATGTAGTGGAAAGGGAAGTAATATTAATAATGCTAAAGGTTTTTGCTATCACTTGGATTGTTTAACGTTTTGCGTAAGAGTATTAGTTAGGGGATTATTATTTTGAGATAGTGGTAATGTTTCTGCATTTCTTTTAATTGTTTTTTTTTATTTCCTTTTAGTGTTTCATTTTTTTTCTATTAATTTTAACTGCATAATGTTTTTTTTATAAATAACTTAGTTTTGACCAGTACTTGGGTTACTTAATTTTTGACTAAGAAATAGTATTCAAGCTGCTTTTAAATTGTTGCTACACTTTTTGGGGGTTTAATAAATAAAAAAGATTTTTAATATATATATTAATATACCATACAATTAGCATGAATTCTTGAATATACGATAAAATAATATATTTTTATTTATTTTGTTCACTTTTTTTTTTTTTTTTTATTTTGTTTCAGTTTTTTTATATTTTACTAATGTCAGTAGTTGAGTGATTTAAGATTTAGTCAAATTTGAGTCCAGATGAATATAAATAAAAAATTGTGGATTATTATTTTGACTAGTTTGTTTTTCATTTGATTTTTAATAAAAAACAAAATCATCAAATGCAATTATTAATTTTAATATTTTTATTGAAATATTTTTTTTTTTTTTTACATGTTGATTTTTATTGAATTTTTTTTTTCACTTTAAAATGCTTTTTTTTGTTTTTTTGGGGATATTTTTTCCACTTTTGTTTTTTTCATTTTTGTTTTCTGTTTTTTTTCATTTTGTTTTTTTGTAGAAACACATTTTTTTTTTTACCTATTTACGTTTTATTCTCTTTCATTTAAATTTTAAATTTTTTAGGAATAATTTTATAATATGAACTGTAAATAAAAAAAACATAATCCTTATTTATTTTTTCTTTCAGCTTTTTCTCATATTCAAGCTGCTTTTATATGCTTGCTTAGAGCTCAATTGCTTACAGTTTAGTAAAAAAAAAAAACAAAACAAAACCCAAAGTGTGCTGTTTCTATTGTGAATTAAAAAAAAATTATCACTTACTAGAGGAGGACTGTTTACGGTCTGGACGGGTCCACGTGCGTTGGCTGCAAGGGTAGTTTGAGAACCTGGAAGGTAGGGTTCCTGCACAATGTCCACCAGAACCTACAGACTTGAGTGTACCATAATTTTGGAGTGTACCAAATGGACTATGAGGCAGTGACAAAGCGGGTGTGGAAACAGATGAAGGCATGCAAATAGGAACCAAAGCTGAAAAATAAAATAAAATAAAACAATTTGGAGGCACATAATGAGGAAAGAGGGCTTGGAGAATTTGACATTCACAGGACAGCAAGAGTGACAGAGAGAAACAGTGAGTAACCTACCTAACAAGATTTTATATATGGATGAGCGATCAGGGACTTAAAGGGGGTGAAGAAAATATAAAACTTAGTAAGAAATACAAAGGAAAGGAAGATGTGGAGAGTCATGATCACACATACTAAAGGAAGAGGACACAAAAAAAATAAATAAGAATCAGCAATATTATTGGTCCTGATTGGCTTCAGTCCTTTTCCCTATTGCCACAATGTAGCTTCCCTTCTTTTCTATAAATACTTACCTGGCATAGGTTTTACTTATCATCTCTCAGTTGCATCTCTGTCTTCGGGCAAATGACTCAGAACAATAAAATCAGAGGACAGAGGCACAACATAGAAAAAGTTGTTTCAACTTTGGGGAACATTTATTTTGGGAGGTTGCACCTTTTCATTGCACTAGAAAGAAGGATCAGTGCTTGCATCGAGGCCAGCAAAACCAACGGTTGTGGGGGCTCAAGGAATTTTTGTCTTCAGCCTGAGTCCACAGATTTGGGTACCCCATGTTAAACCAACCCTGTGTCATAACTTTACTCTGTGGGGAGGGGGAGGTCAAGTAAATTGCCTTCCATGGTAATTGTTTGGGTGGGCACTTTGCTGTGGTAACTTTTGACTTCAATTTAAATTTAAACCAGAACTGGTAAAAAAAAAATTGGCTCGTTTGTAAATAAGTTAAATGCTAACAATTCTTTTCTCACACTCCTTGCTTGTGGAATATTCAAATAACGGCTCTATGCTTTCCAGAAAATTTTAATCTGCAAAAATTTAAAGGCAATGTCAATCGTTATTTCTTGTCCTCCTGATTGCTCTTTTGTTTCCATTCTTTAGTAATGTTTCTATTTTCTAATTCTTCCACACCCAGTAATCTCTTGTATCTTAGTGGCTTTATTACCTTGTTTGAGTTAAATTCAATGACAAAAAAAAAAATACCACTACATATAAATTATATATAATGCAAATGATGAGTTGTGTAATTTTAAACCACTACATACATTATATTTATTTTAATAATAAATTCCAAAGCAGAATCAGCAATTCAATTGGTCCTGGTTTCATTCAGCTTGAAGTCAATTTCCCACCGCTGTAAGGTTTTTCATTTGTGTTTTTCTATAATTACTTAACAATAATTGTATGAACTCTTCACTATTTTAACCCATAATTTTTAAATTTGATGAAAGTAAATAGATTGTAAATTTTCTCATCAATTTACAGTTGAATTAGCTAGATGTAACCATAAGTTCTATGCTAACAATTTCTCACACTTCTCACTTGTGGAACTCTCTTCTGGCTCCATGCTTCCCAGCCAACTTTAATCTGCAAAAATTTAAATATAATGTCAATTGCTATCTACTGATTACTCTTCTTTTGTTCTCACTCCTTACGAATGTTCCTACTTTATAATTCTTCCCCACCCAGTAATGCCTTGTGTCTTAGTGGCTTTACTGCCTTTCTTCGATTAAAAAAAATAAATAAATAAGAAAATAAATGTAGAAAACATTGAAATTGTTCACACAGGAATTGTACATGTCCAAGATGAATAAACTCTGATTGCGTTAAAGCTGAAGAATTATTGAGAATGATGGGATTATTGAGAATGATGGGATTAAAAAAAAATAATGGAATTGTTCTTCATGTGAGTAATGAGGATGTTATGAATTTGGCAAAAAAAAAAGACCTTTACATTAAGAATTTAAAAAGAGAAGGTGTTGAATTAATTAAAAAAAAATTTCTGAATTTTTCTTTGTATAACTGAAAAAATAATTCCTCATGAATATAATAAAATTTTTTCTAAAAAAAAATTAAAATTTAATTATGTGATGCAAAAAAAAAAATAATCAAAAAAAAATCTGAAAAAATTAATTCATTTAAATTGAGACTGTTAAAAAAAAAAACGACATTAACATTTATTTTGTACAAAAAAAAAAAATAAAGATGAATCAAATACAAAGAATTAAAATAATGAAAAAAATTTTTTTAAAATTTTAAAAAAAACTAAAAAATTTTAAACTAATATTTTTGAACAACAAAAAAAATTTACAAATACAAAACAATGTTTCTATAATCCAATATAAAAACACCAAAATTTAAAAAAAAAAAAAATTATAAAATAAATTATTTAAAAATTTTCTCAATATTTTTCATAGTATAAATTTTTCAGGGTATAAAACAAAATAAATCGTTTAAAAATTTTGAAATTTAATTAAAAAACTATTAGATATGGACTTTAATCGAATATAAAATTTCTTATTAAAAAAAGGATTATACATGCTCATTATTTAAGAAAATTTATTTTTTCAAATTGTTTTTTATAACATTTTATGAACGTGATCCAAAAATTTAAAATTCTTACCTTATTCAGGAAATAAAGTTCAAATGAATTCAAACTTTTTTAATTTTCTAAAAACAAAAATAACATGCCTGAAATTATTTTTTTTTTTAGATTTATTATGTTTTTAAATATTTAAATGAAGCCAGTGAGATATAGTTAAATTTATATTTTGTTGATTTAAAAAAATATGGTCTCAAATATGGATAGCATATTTTTTTTGGGAAAAATCTCCAAATTTTGGTTCAGAGGTAAAAAAAAATGGGAAAAAAAAAAAAAATGTCAGTGTTTTTTGAAAAAAAATAAAATGAAAAATTTTTTTAGATGAAGCCATGGGTTCAAAGGATGCTATCGTTTAGAGATAAGTTTGATTTTTTGGGTCCTTATTAATTTGTATAAACAGTTCGGGAAATCATAATTGAGAATTGTTTCATTATGGAGCAAGCATTTTTTCATTTGGACAAAAATTTCTTTGAATCATGTTTTTAATTAAAAAAAATAAATTTATGGACTATGTAACCACTTTTAAAAGGGGTTATTGAAAAAAAACAAGAAATAAATAAAAAAAAAATATAAAAAAAAAAATTTTAATTTAAATTTTAATCTTTTTATCATAGAAAAGATTTAGTAGTTTTATGAGTATTATTCCAAATTTAGAAAAATTTGTCAAGCATTATTCATTTATTTTGACTAGGATTTGAAAGGATGCCACAGAATTGCTTTATTTCTGAATTGAAATTATAGTGGAAGAATTCTTTCACAGGACAAAATTAGATGAAGCATTGTCAACATTATTCATTTTTAAGGATACATTTCTTCTTTATTCAAATTAATTTAAAAGAACCCAGTAGTATTAGTAGTAGTAATATTAACTGCAAAATTTGATGAATTTTAGGGCCTGAAAATTCATTTTGAAACCAGGATTTCTTGAAACTTCATTTCAAATTGCTTTGAAAAAAAGTTAATTAAAAATGTAGAAATAAAATTAATAAGATGGCATTAGATGAAATTGAAATATTCATTTTGAATAAATTTCTTTCATCTTAATTTTCAAAAAGATTATTGAACTTTTAGTTCTGGGTACTTTATTCAATAAGAAATTCTAGTAATCCCAAATTTTGGAATTAGATGAAGAAATCAGCATTATTCATTTTGACTAGAATTTCTTCATCTTCATTTCAATTGTTTTTATTTCCACTAGTAGTATTAGTAAAAAATTATTGCATATTCATTAGATGAAATTGTCAAAATTTCATTTTGGTTAGGATTTGAAAAAGTTTTCAATTTAAAAAATTTTATAATAACTATTTTAGTATTAGTAAAATAATTCATTTATGGATTTTATTTAAATCTTCATTTCAAATTTTGGATTCATTTAAAACCTTTGACATCTACAATTTAATTAAAGCATTAAAATTTCTAAAAACTAGGATTAAAATAAAAATTTCAATTTTATTTCAATTGTTTTATTTCCAATGTTTTAGTATTAGTTTTAGGTATTATTAAATTGCAATTTTCATTAGATGAACATATCAATTTTCAAGCATTATTCATTTTGGATAGAGGAAATATTTAATGTATCTTCAGAAAAATAAACAATTTTTTCCACTAGTAGTATTAGTAGTAGTAATATTATCTAAACTCAATTTCATTAGGCATTGAATTAATTGTAAAATTTATTATTCATTTTGACTATATTTCTTTCATCATCAAATTTCAATTGCTTTATTTAAATTTTTTAACATTAGTAGTAGTAGTAATATTAAATCCAATTTTTTAGATGAAGAAATTGTCAAATCATATTTATTTTGAACTAAAATTTTTTTCATTTTTGACTTAAAATTTTTTTAATTTTTTTTTATACATTTTTACAAATATTTGTTTTAATTTGTTTTTTTAATAACAAAAAATCATTTATTTAACTTGTTATTTTAATTTAATTTTTTTAGCATATTATAAATTTATGAATAAACCAGGAATTTCATCTTCATTTCAATTTGCTTTATTTCCACTAGTAGTATTAGTATTTCCAAAAAATAAATTATTCACTAAAAAGACCAAAAAAACATTTTTAAATAATTTTGATGGAAATTTCATAGCATTATTCATTTTGGACTAGGGTTTCTTTGACCAATTTCATTTGCTTTATTTCCACTAGTAGTAAAGTAGTAATATTTTCACAATTTGATTAGATGAATATTGTCAAACATTATTATTTATTTGGACTAGGATTTTTTTAATCTTCATTTCAATTTATTTATTTCCACTAGATAGTAGTATTATTTTTAAAATGCAATTTCTTTTGATTCCATTTTAAAATTCATTTCAATTATCTCAATAGATTTCTTTCATTTTAGAAAAATTTCCATTAAGTAGTATTAGTTTAATATTTTTTATTGAATTTAATTTTTTTAGTCATTTATTCCATTTCTTTTCATTTTATGAAATCTTTATTTCATTATTCATTTTGGATTTTAGGATTTTTTTTTTCTTCATTTGAGGAATTTCCACTAGTAGTATTAGTAGTAGTAATATTATCTGGATTTTTTC